GTGATATTATTTCATGTCAGCCATTTTTTTATTATGCAGAAACCTGCAAATACCTACTGTATGTCCAAACTTGACCTCCTAGAACATCAAGTAACATTCTCTATGAAAGATTGATAGGTAAATTTGAGGTGGACAGGTAACTAAATTACAGGAAGAATTTCAAGCATTCCACCTTCTCTGAAGTGAGGTGATCCTGCCAACACCGAGTCAGAATTCCTGAATGATGACATCTATAGGGAGGCAAAATGAAAGGACCATCACAGTGGTATATGTCACAAACCTTGTCCCTTTTTTGTACCTGCAGACTTTCTACTCACACATAAAGGAGGTGGAACATGCAGGAATATGTCAAAACTTCACCACAAAATCCTGTGGATGCTGTGTGAGGTATGAAAAGAATCACAAAAGGAAATTATGAAAATTGCCAACCATCTTTCAGTAGTGGAAAGCCAATCTTAACTGCAGTTACAATTGCTCATTTTGATGAAAATTAGTGTTCTTAAACTCTCCTCTAGAGGTGACAGAAGTATGGGCAAAGATGCCTTACCAGTTCCAACACTTTTGATTGTTCCTTTCAGCACAACATAATTGTGAGTAATTGGAATGACCTGAAAAATTTTAAAACTATTCTGTTCTTAGAAGGATACTGCTTTGAGAGAGTGATGATGCTGAAATTAAGCACAGATTTGGCATGCAGAAATCCTCATGTCCCGTCTTCATTGCAGGGAGTGATTTGCATGGTAGGGTAGACGAACAATCAGGAAACAATCTCCTTTTGAAACACGGTCTCCTTCTGGAACACAGGACTGTAACTGTACTTATACTTGATACATCTATAATACTACAGAAAAGTCAACGTGGTATAACAATGAGGGCAGCAGACACTGGGCACCTTGCATCTCAATGCAAGGCTTGCCCCTTTTGTATCCACATCCTGACCTTAGATTATGAATTCTAGTTCTGCCTAAAATACAAAACCAGTTGGGAGGGGGGGAGAAAGAGAATGAGAGAATGTTATAGAGTACTTAACACCTACTTCATGTATCTCCCAAAGTTGTTGATGTAGAAAAAATATCAAAGAATTAGTGGCCACATTTCTTGTCATTTGTCATTACATATGACCTTTCATCGTTAGTCTGAGAAAATCCTACCCATAAGACAAATGCTTATTAAATTTCTAAATAATGAATAGGGAGACAAACTCTTCTATATTTTGAATGACAAGTCAAGGCAGTAGTGCACTAGAAAAACATGTAGGTAATGAGAGTCATTCTGCAATTAACTCAAAACACAACAGACGCTAACCAACAACATTTCAATCACAGAACTTGATAGACATTAGTTTTGTCAGCATCATACCATTGTCTTAATGGAGATTATCCTAGTGTTGTATTTCCTAAATATTGACAAACAGATGAAGCAATCTAACACTGAACTTGTTTTATTGATTTGTAATGTGCAAGGCCAACTACTACAGTATCATTATTTCCCGGTCAGAAAGCCAATTAGTTAATGTGTTTGTTGAAGGGGGGAATCTTAAGAGAACTACAGTGCATATTCTATTTTGAAACTAGTCAGAAATTGTATTGTATCCATCTACAATTCCAAAACCCACAGATTAGGCATTCACCCTAAATAAAACTGGTATGTTATCTGAACCCCTCACAAAGCAATCCTCTGCTGTCCATGGACTTGATGCCATATGATGCATCTGAGATCATAACCCTGGTTGAAGGGCTTGATGCCATATGATAAACTCAGATGAAAAGGTTTCGGTGCCATCAGGAATCTCATGGTACCTTTTCAGACTAACAAATGTTATTAAAAGCATTTCCTTTTTGTAGCCCATATCATCAAATGCATGCAATGGCTAAACGGATGTAGGATCTAAATTGGAAGAAACGGGAGGGGAAAAGGAGGTGGTTATGAAGATGCAGATTATACATGGGAGTTTATAGGTACTTTAACAATTGTAAAATGGTATGTTAAAACCCTTTTTTTTCTATCTTTGAGATAGCCTATCTTTTGATATATGCAAGTTCAGCAATCCTTCAATTGACTTGTCCCAATTTTTTTTGTCCCAGACCAGTTGAGATCTGTAATGGAGTGTCTTGGGTGGTTAAAATGTTCTATTACTTTTTACTAACTTGATGTCAAACCTGCATCGTTTTATGCTTTTCACTTATATCCTCCTCTTATTTTTATAAACAACTCAAGGTGGCAAAAGTATCTAATGCTTGTTCTTACTCCTATTTTCCCCACAAAAACCTTGTGAGGTGAATTGGGCTGAGAGAGCGACTGGCCCAAGATCACTCAGCTAGCTTTCATGGTTAAGGTCAGACTTGAATTCATGGTTTCCTAGTTTCCAGCCTAGTGCCTTAACCACTAGACTAGACCAAATGCTCTTTGCCTGGTTTGTCCTATAAGATTCCAGATGCTACTTGATGGTGGCTTGTATCGCATTAGAAGAAAAATATCCATGGATGCTTCTAACCTTGTATGCAAAGTTATTGGAGTCTATAATAGTTATAGTGATGTAAATTTTGTGGAGGCAAAGGACATCTGGCTTTCTTGGTTTATCTTAGCATCATCTTCCTGCTTGCCGTGAAAATCTGCTTCAGGTTGAATGGCTGTTTATATGTAAGCATGAGCCTTCCACTCAATGCCTGAACAAGTGCAGTATCATTATCCATTTTGGGCTATAGCTGATTAACACTTTAGTGTTTGAGTAGCTTAAGCTGTGATGTCAACACCATGGATCACAGGTGTCAAACTCGCTGAGTCACACTGTAGTCATGTGACATTTTTCCTCTTCGCGGAGTTGGGGTGGGCGTGACCTACGCGAGATGCATCTGGCCCACGGGCCACCAGTTTGACACCCCTGCCATAGATGCTACAAGCATAACTGCTTAACCTTTGAAAACAACATAAACCTGCAAATCAGTAGCACAGCCCTGGGAACATTATACCTCTAAAATATTCTAATATTTTTCATAGCACACCTAGAATACTTTCTCAACTTTTTAAACCCCAGAAACTGCTTTTATAGACATTATTCACTGATGACATGTTTCTCATCTACATTTACTAAAAAGAATCTCTCATTCAATTTCACAAGATCCTCAACACTCATCATCACCTCAACACCCCATTATCAACCTTAACCTCAACCTATCTACAGAACAAATCCAATTCCTTTATGTCACAATAAAACTATATAATCGACATATAAACACCATGTTATACAGTACATGAAACCTCAGATCATCGCACATACCTACATAGTTATAGCATCCATCAGGAACACACACCAAATCTATGATATAGTTTCCTTCAAAGTCTGATTCATTTCCATATAAAATTAATACAAAATTCAAACCATGATTTATTAGTAAATCATCTCAATAAATGATAGGTAAAAGTTCAACAAAGGCACAAGTTCTCTTTGGTTAGCATTCCTCAGAATTCTTATCTAGCTCCAACCATGAAGTCATTGACTGCTTTAAGAAATTATCTTATGATGCAAAATGGACTTTAAGTTCATTTGGAATTAGCTATCATCCACAAAGCAGTTTTAAGTCCTAGAACATAAGGGGATGTGATTATCTTCAAACAAGAAACTCTCCTTTCATGTCTCAAGTTACTTTCAAGGCTATACTATTATTAGTGTCAATCAGGACATGTGGAGAAAAAAATTCTAGCTTTTTGGATTGTAGAAACGTTCTCATCTACGGTATGATTAAACATGAGATAAATAAGCAATAGTGAATCAATTATATTACAGGTACTCCTCAAGTTAAAATCACAACTGGGACCAGAAGTTCTGTCCTAAGCAATGTGCTCATTAACTGTATCACACACCATTTTTGCCAGTTAATTGAATCATATGGTCATTAAGCAAATCTGGCTGCCACTTTACCTGTTAGAAGTCCCCCATCCCCGCCAAAAGATCAGAAACAGCAATTATGTGACCATGGGACTCTGCAATCATTGTAAATACATGCCAGTTGCCAAGCACTCAAATTTTATGTTTGTGGGGATGCTGCAACAGTCATAAGTCTGAAGACTGGTTGTAACTTTGAACAAACATCAAGGATTGGACATAAGTTAAAATATTTTTTATAAGAAACCTTCCCATAAGAAAATGATTAGGGAAAAAATGAGTTTGAAGCTTTAACACTAGAGGGAACTAGAAATGATTTTCCTGTTTCTCTTCGCTTTTTAGCTTTATAACAGTAAACTTTAATACAAATTATTAAAAATAGTTTTGTTGATTTATGCAGATTAAGAAACATTCTTGGGCAATCATTTTTGTTTCTAAAGCAGTTTACCGCAGGAGTATTCAGGGGAAAACCATTCTGAACCAACTTTGTGTTTACAGTATCAAATTCATAGAGCCTCGCCCTCCCGACACACACACACAATGCTTGAACCAATTTTCTTTTCTGATCAACACACACACACACACACATAAAATATGCTTGAACCAATTGTCTTTTCTGATCAACCGTTTTGCAGAGGCTGCTATTTTTCAGTATCCTAAATGACCTATTTTACTTAATTAGCTATTTCATTTCTACTGTCTGCATTTCACAAAAGTGGATTTGTTTTGAACGTCTTAGATTTCCAAACTCTGCCCCAGGCATTTCTAAACATTTTAGGAATGCAGATTAGTAAATACTTCTTTCAGCTCAGAAAGTCTGCAGCTTTTCTTCCCAAAGATCCCTTAGCTTCCATGTTACACCATTATTTAAAAAAAAAAAAACCACACACAAGCAGGTAAATTCTTCCTGTGTCTAAAATAAGATGCATTTACATAAAACATTTTGTAATGCCCTTGAATCTTGGCCAGAAGTAACACATAAAAGGAAAGACTTTTCTTCTCTAAAAGAAGCCCCGTTTTTACCATAAAGCACTTTTTTCTACACAAGCATGCTCAAGCCTATGAAGGATGATATCCAAGAATTCCCTGAAGACGTACTTTATATCAATGGCAAAAGTAACAAAGAAAGCTAACTTTATTTGGAACTTTATTAAATTACTGGAAGAAATATGTAAAAAAAAAAGAAAGTCCGCAATGTCACATGTTCAGAGTCCCGAGGCCCAGCTGTAGTCCAATTTCCTTAATTTACGAAGTTCTCTTTCCTGAAGTTTTGATAATTTAGATGCACCCTCCCCAAAGCACTCTGTTGTCTGTGAAGCCTCTGGGCGAATTTCAATATCTTCGGATTCCTCTTCGGATTCCTTCTCTTCACTGTCACTTAACATTTCAACTTCCTCAGCAATTTCATTAGTGCTGTTGGTTTTTTTTTTAAAAAAAAGGAATTATGTAAAGCGTCTATTCGTCTCAAACACACATTATTTGTTTACACAGATCCTAAATAATGCTGATATACAAAAACTCAACAAGTTATCTCACTCAACAATTCCACTGCCCAATAGTCTTCCTTTCTTCTTAAATATTTTCCTGAAAATAAATTTTGGTATGAAAAGGAATACAGATTCCTTAAATGAGTATTTTCTGATTCTTACTTTCATTACAACAGGCACTGATGGCATTTGTACCAAGCTACATCAGGGAAAGCCAGGCATTCTCCTTGAGGTGCCAGCATTGTGTGTATTTGCAATATATCCTATGAGGAATAGTAAAGTAAAATCTTGGGGAGAAAGCGCTATTATTACCTTAATATGCATACTTGATAGTCAGATTCTCTGTGCTTTGGGAGATCAATAACATCATCTTGGGGGAGGGGGATATTTTGTCTCCTAGAAAGGCTATATATGCATATATATTCATGCAGCAATTCAGTGGAGATTCCCTTATGGTATTTGTAGTCTGGTAAGAGTTGAAATCGAGAGAGTTGGATTGGCAATCTCCTGGGACTTGGGGCAAAATGACTGCAGAAAATCTGATCAATACCAGATTGATTTGATTATGATCAAACCTAGGGTATGGATCTTACACTCAGAAGAATCCAACTACTAAGTATGTCTAGCAAACCAGGACTACCTCTATTCCAAGAAATCCATGATGTACTTTCATCAACCATCTTTAAATGAGATACTCAAATGATTGTGAATTGTCTCCTCCCTGAAAAAGCTCTAAAGAGTAAAGAACAACGTGGATGAAACTTCTAAGGACAGAGAGAACAGCCTTGAAGGCATTATGGTCATTGGCAGAGATGTCAGAGCAGGTTTAAAATAAAATCAACAATCACCAACATGTGATCAAAACTCGAAATGCAAGACTGTAAAAAAGGGAACACACTGATTGCCTGGTTGTGCATCATGTTTTTGGACCCCCTCCTCCTGCAGACAACTGTGGCAGAGGTGGGAAGGCTTTGGATCCTCAAATTTCTAAACTTTCTAGATACACCCCAAACACAAGAGAAGCATCCCTATCTCGAGTGGATATTTCATTTACTTTCCATCAGTCGGAACAGAAAGGGAAGTGACCAAAATAGAAAAGAAAAAATGGCTAAGGAAGGACATGCAGTGTTTCACATCCTGCACCTTGACAAATGGACTAATCCCAGCAGGGATTGTTGGCATTGATTGAGGGGTGACAGTAGTTGATTCATTTTTAGAACTCCTGACAAGGCACATGGGATGTCTTGTAAATATCTGACCACAGCGTACATGCAGCCTATATGGGTATCTCATCTCAACCAAAACAGGACAATACATTTTAACATTTTATCTTTTAGGAACCCCCCAGATTTCTTACTTACCTTGTTCTAGGCACCAGCAAAGAGTGAATAAAAAGAGGACATAAGAAAGAAGCTGAAGGTAATACATGTGCTGGAGTATGAAGCAGCTGGGGAGAAAAGACAGGCAGGTGAGATTAGAGCACTTTCTTAAGAAGTCATTGCAAATGTATACATTTTTTAGTATGGATTAGATCCATTCTTACTTCTTTAACAGCTGGTGATTCTTGACCTAACAGATTCTGCACAGGAGCCTTCCCAGTATCCATTCCCTCTTTCACTTGCTGCCGATGCTTCCCCAGTAACAGGTAAAAAGGTGTCATGGAGATGCTCTCCTCAACTGCTAACTAAAAAGGAAATAGGGGTGGAGGCAACCAAATCTACATTAAGGCATATGCAAATAACTTTCAAGCACAGGCAGAGACATTTTCCAAAAGTACTACAAAACAAAAAAGCAGTAACTTATCTTTGGATTGCATGCTTGTTCAGCACTCAGTATGCAATATGATGATAGGCAGTCATTAAGTACGTCAGCCTTTGTATCCTAGTGGAACTAGAATATCTATGATATGCCACCAGCAGAATGAACTGCAGAAAGCATCCCTAAACCTGTTTGGGAGGTACCAGATTAGGAAGGCAAGGTTGAACTAGCAATACTTGACCAGAAGATTGGTGCAATCCATGACTGGCTTACCACCTGCCCCATGACTTTTAAGAGCCCCAAAACTCCAAGAAAGGTACTGTGAGTCCTTGAGATGAAGGCCAATTGTCATTTGGAATTGCTTTATCTTAACACCCTGACTGTACATTATAATGTATGTTTATACTATTTAAGATATGATTTTTAATTTGGAAAAACTAAATATAGTACCCATCTTGACCATTCCTTGAATGCAGTATTTTCTTCCAGGCAAACTTCACTCTTTCAAATAAAATAAAGCTGATCTGCAGATACTGTTTTTTACTTAAGCATTCAAAACTTAATTGGCAATCCGCACTATTCATCTTTATTGGCATCTACCATGTAACAGTAGATGGGTGCCTCAATCTTTCCAATAACAAATGCAGGGTGACTACACGTTTGCCATCTTAAAGATAGATTCAATACTATCCTGGTCAAATAATGTGAAAGACAGGTATCTGTGATGAGACAGGAAAAATTAAGAACGTGAAAGGAGGCACTATTGTAGATGAAGCTGGGGAAATTTTTGACACAATCTTTTGGATTCAGAGATACCCACTGAAGTAGGCCTCATCTTAAGACGGCATTAAGACTCTGAAATATAACTAAGCATTCAAAATGGATTTTCATTTCTTTCATAAAGTCATTTAGCTACAAAAAACAATACCTGTCTACTGGAAGGCGTAAGTCTCTCTTCTGGGGTCTTTGTGCTAAACGTCATTAATTCCTGCACAATCAGAAGGGGAAAGAAAGCAAGATTACAAATAGGAAAAGTATTCTTATAACTACGTTGAACTTTTAAAATGGCATATCATTCGAAATATCAGTCCAGAAGCATATGAATATAGATCTAGGTGAATTTAAAATGACATGTGGCTGTTAACCAAAACATGGGGGATAATGATTTTTTTTCCCTTTCAAAGGTTATTATAGGAAATTCTTTTTCTTTCTAATAGCAACCAAATGACACATTTTTAGTGCTGTTGGGAAGAATACATTGCCAAAAAACCAAGTGGAGCATTTATATAAAGCAAAATTGGGATTTAGACAGGCCTAATATCATGTCAGCATAGTATTGCTGACTGGAATTAAATTGGAGGAAAATAACCAGTATCTTGACACCATAAAAGATATGCAAAATGCAGGTTGCTCAGAGAAGCCCATAAATGTCAAAACATTTGACAGAGCAAAACTTCTATAGCTGACTCAATATAGTTTATCTAGGCTGCAATCCTAAATAGAGTAAGAGCCTCTGAACAAATAGGACCTGTTTCTAAACAAGCAGAATGTGTCATTCGTGCTTGGAGTGCACTAGCGTATGTATGCAATTTCTACAGCTGTCCATCTCAGTCAATAACTCCGGGGGGAGGGCGGGAGGGAGGCGGTTACAATTCAAAAAATATATTACAATTAAAAATATTAAAAACATTTTTTAAAAAATAAAAAACACATCTATATTAAATATACCTAGGAATAGTCAGGAAACACAGAGTCTTTAAGTTATTTTTTTTCTTGTTTCTATCTCTCACTACCACTAGGACAATATTGTAATGACAGCCTATTGGGAAGACTGGGCAAAAATTAATATGACAGCCTCTTTTCAGATCTGTTAGTCACCCCTAACGATTTCCCCTCTAAGTCATTTTAATAAAGTCGGCACTTACGTGTGTTTCAGTCAGAAAATAAAACTGCGATTGGCTAAGCCACTGATATTTTTCAGAGGCAATATATTCAGGCACATCTCTTGGAACAAAGACAGCCCACTGGACTCTCCCTTTGCAGACATTTCTTTGGATACACAAGGGCCGTGGTTCGCTGGGCCTGAACACAAACACTGAAGCAGAGAAGAAGTATCTTTAGCCTTTGCAAAAAGCCCCGTCCGTTTTTCTGACTCGGAGTTGAAGAGAAGCCAAAACGATCCCAAGCATGGAGTCCCAGCCTTGATATTGCTAATAGATCTTTTATAAGGCCAACTTAATGATTAACCTGACAGTCAAGAGCCAAGCTGCATCATTATAGTTTTAATGGTGTGAGAAAACCACACCCAGATGACAGCTCTTTGATGAGAAAAAAACTAGTTGAGCCTTCCCCAACGAGTTCCGTTAATAGATTGGGACTAACAATTCCTTGACTTTTCAGCTTATCATGCTGGTTCAAAATACAAATCTCTTGATTTGGAATAAATCAAGGTAGAGTTGGCTATTATTCAGGAAAAGAAAAGGTAAAAAAGATTCAGATTTTTTAATATGGCCTTCATTCCAGCTCACAGCTTCTTAACATCAGGATTCAGACACAGTACTCTGTACTTTTTCTGTTATTTCCTCAGCCAAAATGGCTTGTTCATGAAGTGACACAGAATGGTATCAAGATTACTAGGTTCTCTTTAAAAACATCTTTTTTTTCCTCTGTAGTAAAAATCTGAAAACCAGAAGTTGCTTTAACAGTAAGAGATTAAATAATTACTAACAGAAACTTACTTTAAATACAGTGAGTAATTTGGTTTTGATCCTAAGATAAAATTCCTTTACCCATATGTACCTTTACTCATATTCAAGAGGACTCAGCTCTCTGCAGGATCAAAGCAAAGGAAAAGCAAAGGAAGTTTGAAAAAGCAATTAATTTCCCACAAGTTTTTTGGTAGGATCTAAGTTTCCAGGTTCAGCCTACTTAAAGTGGCATTAAATCTAAAATATTTTTCTAGGCATGATAACACCACAACTTGGTTCAACTATTCTCCACAAAGTAGAAAGGCCTCTTTATTCTCACCATCTGAATATTCTGAGTGCTGAGAAATTGCAGCAATGTTCTCAGACAGATGATCAGGCTGAAGAATGTTGACATGTAACTGGGCACTCCATTCCACTGAAAAGAAAAATAATCAGGTCAGTAAAAGAACCATAGACACATTTTTCTAGAAAGGTCACAACTTGCAAGAGGGGCAGATTCAATTCAAATGCAGCTTTCAAAGTATTTTGAGTAGGGTCTGCACAAGGAATGAGAGTAAGAGGGTATTCCACAATGATGACTGTCCTAAGGTTACTCAACAGGTTCTCAAAAGGAACCTGAAATCTATCAATCACATTTTGGCGACCATCAGCTCTAAAGATTCTGTTTAGTTCATCTGGAAAGAAGAGACCATACATGTTCCCGAAGTGGCACGGGATAAGTATAGATTCACATTTTGAAATCATGAACTCTTGGAATTCAACTAATCATATAATTTACTATTACTCTTCTTCGAGTTAATAACAAAATATATTAAAATGTGCTCCAGCAGACAATTAGTTTTCTCTAAATCCATAGGACAAAGGTAGATTACACTTTGGCCAAGAGTAAAAACAAACCAGGAAGCATAATGATCATATAATGATCATTAATTAGTTCCCTCTAACACCACAGTCTTCCCCTCAGGTAGACAGGAGAAACCTGCTCAATTTTTCAGCGCCAGGCAATGGGATGTTTTCTATTGAGGCACCCAAGTTATGCAACTCTGCTGGTCCTCTTCTTGTTTCGTTATTAGAATATTTTGTCTTGTGGCTTTTTGATCTTCTTTAGTTGCCTGGATTTCTGTAAATCTTTTGTTTATTCCTAAATAGGTCTTTCTTCCCACCTCCCCTGCAACTTCTCAAAACTCTCCTGGAAGAACTTCCAATTCTCTGAATTTATAGGAGAACAATGAAAGGGGACAGGCAGTTATCCCTCTCCCAGCTCCACTGCAAGCTATCCACATGTGTCACTGAGTTTCCCTCATTTAGGACTAGCAAAATAACTCTAAGAGGATTACTAACAGCATCCTAATTATGGAATAAGTTTGCTGGTGCTAAATTACTCATTTCAATTTCTAGTTAATATAAAAAAAAATCCATCTAATTTTGTATAGCGATCTAATAATTAGATTTCATTCCATTTTTTTAACAGCTAGGTTTTAAGCTGAACAAAAATTCTGGCCATTTGTCAAAAATACACACATTAACTCAGTATCTTTTGGCAACTGTAGCACAATTAGTAATAGCAGGCAACTGGTAGTTAGCAAGAGTAATCCAGTGCATATGCTAGTGGATTAACCTGCCATTTATTGTTAAACATTTACTAAAAGGGTTTTCTTTACTGAGATGAAATAAAAACTGAAAAATTTTGTTTGCAATAACCGATTTTTTCAACTATGGTGTTCCTGCAGCATAAAATACCAAGGAGAAAAGAAGATACAAAAAGTAAAAGTAAAGACTTACATGAACAATTCAGCAAGTTCCAGCAGCACAAAAAGCCACTGCTGGTGGTGCCAAGGAGATATTTGGAACAAACAAGCCTCCCAAAGCACAGGCTCCTAAAGGAAGAAAGGAAAGGTCAGAATAGTTGCTCAACTCCAAATCGTGCCCGCAGTAATATTTACTGCTCTGTTCGTCAACATCCAGGATTGAAAACTGGTGGAAAAAGAGCTGATCATTCCCTGTTCAGTGAGGTATTTTATAATATGCCCCCTCTACATTAACAAAGGTCTATGTCAGAAACTCATTTCTCAAATTTGGTTATAAGACTCCTGTGGTGACCAACAATATACTTCAAAGTGATATACTGTATACCAATGGTGGCTAACCTTTTTGGGCTCCTGGGCCAAAAAATGTGCATGCGCTCATGTGCTCGGACCCAGAAGGCAATGCACCCCCCGCACCCTCTGCGCATGCACGCGTAATCCCTCCCCCTACCGCCCCCTTATCTGCACTGAGCCTCACAGCTGATTTTCGGCCAGTTTGAGGCCTTTTTCGGCCTCCCAGAGGCTTGAAAAAAGCCTCTGCAGGCTTTGCAGACCGAACAATAGGCCCGTTTCGTCACTTCCAGGAATAATAGGCCCGTTTCTTCACTTCTGCATGTGAAGTGAGGTAAGTTTACCTGCGGCTCGCATGCCAGCACAAATGGCTCTGCGTGTCACCTGGGGCACGCGTGCCATAGGTTCGCCATCATGGCTGTATACTCAACAGCAATTTATCCGACACATGGTAAACAAGGTCATCTAAAAAGTTCCTGAAAACGGAAGGACGTCACTGATGTTCAGGAGTTAAGATTAGCCAAAGCCTTCCAATTTCTCCACTGAGCAACTTTAGTCTTTTTGCCTACATCTCCTAGCATATGCGCAGACCTGGGAACAAATTCCATTTTACAACCGTACAATTCAAACCTCCTACAGCAATCAGGCAAATGTTTACACAACGAGGGTCAAGGAAGTTATTTGAAAAAGAGCACCTTCCGAGCAAATGGTTCTGTTGAAACCATTTCAGATAACTCTGCAAGTGCTGACAGGCAGGAGGTCATGATCAATTTTAGAAGTTTGCTGAAACCATCTTGCTGACGGGACAGTAAATTAGGAGGAACTAGCTTTTACTAGCAGCAAAAATGTGAGAAACTGAAGCAGACTTGAGGGCTCAAATGCACTGAGAACTATAGTTGTTAATTTACCTATTTAAGAATATTGTATCACAAGCACTAATGTTTAAAAGGGTGGTCTATTTAACTGAGAAGCACAAATGCAGTCACGATCCTTAGTATAGTGAACTAGCTTGATACCCGTGCTTCGCTACGAAACTATATGGTCGGGCTTAGTTTTTGGGGAGGAAAATAAGGGAAAAAATCTGCCTCAGCCTACCATCATCCATCGGTATTCATCTGGCTAGCATCCTGTCAGTGTGTGAGAGAGTTGAGGGCTTTTTGAAACTGAAACAGTATTTGCTGTGTGGGTAAGAAGGAAACAGCAAGGAGCCTGGGTGTGGCTTAGCTCAACTGTTCTGTACTAAAACTGTTTGGCGCTGCGAAACTAAAACTGAAACTCCTCTGCTTATGTTTTATATTTGGAACAGATTTCTTTTCAGGTGAGAAGGGGGAATAGAACTCCTTAGCATCAGAGTGTGTTAATAATAATGATATATGAAATACTAATGCTCTGATGGTCATTTCAAAAAATCCTTTCTTAGTGAGCACCTAGAAGCCAAGAGGAACATACGTGCCAAATTTCAAGTTTGTAGGCTTTACGGTTCTGGAGATTTTGTGATGATGCGAGTAGTATTACACTTTTTATATATATAGATTGTCAATTTAATCATTCATACTAATAAGGCTCCCTTACTGGCTGCAGGAAGTTCAGAAATGAATATAAGGGAGGACCAATGACCTTGCTTGTTATTGCAATGCACATTTTAGTTTCACAGAAGAGCAATTTTACATTCCTTTAGCTCAACTTTTTCCCATTATCTCTCTTCCCTCATTTCATTCTAAACCAAAGGATTTGATCTTTTTTTAAAAAGGTCCCGGTCTAAGCTAAAATTATACATACTGGATATGCTATTCCAAGCCCAGAAAACAAGTTAACTTTTGTCTCTATTGTCAGATCCTGTTCTTAAAATTAATTAGAGGTGGTTGTAAACTGAGAAGAACATTTCAGACTCACTTTTGTAAATGGCAACATTACACTTTTCAAATGGAGCTTTTAAAAAGTGATTTAAATACAATATAAGCAAAACAATAAGACCCAGAAGAACAAGCATACAAGTACGTACATTATAGTTCCTGGAGGATGGCAGAAAGTGCATTTTAAATCCCATGTTTCAGAATCCCACACGGTGATTGTTTTGTCAAAGCTAACAGCAAGTAAAGAGCCATCTTCACAGAAGCAGCAATTTGTAGCTTGATAATTATGATAACTTCCTACAAAATCACAGGTCCAAGTTATGCTTTCATCTGCTAGGGAAGAGGCACACAGATTTAGGAAAAGAATATAAATGTTAGTTGTATGGCATGAAAAAAAATCATGTGAGAATTTTAATTTTTACTAATTTGGTCCAGTTAACAGTTGCATTCACTTTCCTTGCAAGAAAACTCCCAATTCTTTTCAATGGGGCAGTATCAAACTAATGTGTAACCAAGGAGGCCCCATTTTCTTTTTCCACTGTAAGAGAAAGAGAGCTTAGTCATCTTGGTAGTCCAGCGGAGCAATTCCACACAAACCGCATACTACTCTCTCTTTTTCTGAAGCAGGAAAAGCCACACATTGCTGGGAAGATTTCTGTCCACTTGAACAGAACCAAGAGACCGCTGCATGGGAGTAATATTTGCCATGGCAAGCAAAAAAGTTTAAAAAAAACCCCAAACCTATATGAGTTAAGCTTTTTTTCTACACAAAATGGAATCCTGATAAAATTTAGCACAGCCATATTTAAGTTACATATTTTTGCTGGCACGCTGTTCAAGTGAAGTCCTAGGTTACCATCCACAACTGTGTAGGTTTGTCTGATCCAAACATAAATCCACAGACCTCACTTTTTAATAACCTATTTACAATCACTAATTTGTGCCTACAGCTGCAGTTTTTCTTGGAATCCATCTCCTTTCAGACCATGTGGAAGAGAGAATTTAGTGTCGTGAAAAGTACATTACATTTAGTACAACATCAAGAAATGAACACACAAACAAAAAAACCCAAAACACAACACTTAAAATACCAAGATAGAAACTTCTCCAAATAGGTGCCCCCACTGCCACTTTAAGTGCCCAGGTTATGAAAACCAGAAATAACTTTCAAGTATAAGCAACACTTTTTCCCATAACACTAGGATATCTTACACATGGAAAAGTATACAAGCTTAAAATTGAGGGGGGAGAGGGGAATCTTACATCTCCACAAAAATGGCCTTGCAAAGATCACCACGCTTTCATGACTGAACGTAAAGAGGTAAGAAAATAGTAAAGTTACAGAGAACCTCAGGTTCAGTAGGAACTCCTATCCTAGTTGCCACCAACTAGGCACAAGCCAGAGAAACTCAATCACAGCTACACTAAAGTCTTTTTCTCTTGCAGTATATATGATTTTATCCCAGTTGCCACGTTCACAAATTATCAAATTCCACTGTACACAGAAGTGCTAAGTAACATAGCGATGTCTCTCTATGTAGAGATAATTTCTACATGTTAAAAAAATATTCTAGAAAGAAATAGAAAAATTTAAGCCATGCTGCTTATCTGAGTTTTAGAAATTCCATAAAGATCATTTCTTCTTCAGCCTTCAGCACATACAATTGCCTTTTACCGATTTGGAGAACCAAGCAGGAAATTGTCACCTGCACTGTAATCAATCCTCTGTTGTTCCTCAAATTCCCCACTTTCATTAAAAAGCCCAAACCGAACATGTTTATTCATGTTGCAAATGAATGAAAGCTACTCTCCCCGTTTTACTTACTTTCACTGTCTTTATCCACCAGTAGCATCCAGACCTTGAAGTGCCCATCCCTGCTAGTTGTTACCAGAGTTGGGCTTACATTTTCAGAATTTTCTGTGCCACGGAAACACATTGCTGTTATGCAGTCCTCATGTGGTGTATTTATTCGTGTGTTTAGAGTAAAGCTAACATCAAAAAGAAAAAGAAAATTATATTAAAGCATTCCCTGAAGTAAATGGGCTTCAAGGCATGTAATATTATGCTGGGTTGATATATTAAACATTTAATTCTAAGCAATGATCACATCAGCACAGATAGCATAATTATTGGATATTATAATTTCCAATTGATGGTACTGTATTTTTATCCTCAAATAAAAGTGGTACATTCTGTAGTACTGTACACTGACAGAAATAGTCAGTATATGAAACAGATTTGGTCATAAGCCATCAAGATATAAAATGAAGTAACTGCCTCTGAGTTGAGCTTGACTCCTGATGAATTACATGTAAATATCCATAAAATTTGGGGAATATGGCACAGACCTGCTTTACCATTACCTTATTTTGAAGTGTTGTTTCAACTTTCTCATCTACATTAAACAGATTTGATAGAAGAGTGTATCTTTCCTGCACAGTAACACAGTAACACTCTTCTATCAAAACCATATAAACATTAGAAAGAGGATACAGCAATGTAAGGCATCACTCTACTTACTGAAACTTACAGGAGTTTCTTACAGATATCAACAGAATTATCCAACTATCAGAAATCATCTGTTGTATTATGTTAACTATATAAATGGAATGGGAATGAGAAACAAGGTAGGTTACCACTAGTTCCATAAATGTCATCATTTGGTTTCCTAAATTCTGATAATTAGAATGATCAACTTAGTGCAAATTATACCCATTTATACTTGGACAAAAATAAAAGCCAGAATATAAAAGTAGCTGAAACATCTGCCTGACAAATTATTAATGGTGTATACCAGCCTTCTCCAGACAGAGGCCTGTGTAGGTAAGTTGGACTTCAGTTCTTTGGCTGGGAATGCAAAGGGTGGGAATGTAAGATTAATTGGAGGTTCAAGCACACCTACACAAATCACAGGTTTCTTCCTGCAAAACTAACTCTCCCTGAAAAAACAGTGTTACTGCCCACTTGCAATATGTCATGAAGTCACTGCTCTGCTTCCCTGTGGCTCAAAATAACACAATAAAAAATGCCAATCATGAAAGAAGGGCCTGTCCCTGAGATACTTGAAATCTCGGCATTCATTCTCCATGTCTAGTAGCAAAATCTATGCTTTAAAATGATCTCAGGGCATGTTACTGCTCTGTAACGAAGAAACTATAGGAATATGATTGCCTTTGTCCAACATAAATTCAAACATGTTTACCTTTGTGTCTGTTCATTATAGGCCCAGAGTTTCAGCTGCATCTGAAGCTCGCAGCCACTTCCTTGCCGTTGTTCCACGGTAGCCATCCAGTTGCCTTTGGAATCAAACACAGCTTTCACTAACTCAATCTGGTCCAGACCTGCCTGATGAATATACTCCTGCTGCACAACATCCAGCTGTGTATTTCAATGAGAGAGAGAGAGAGAGAGAGAGAGAGAGGGAGGGAGGGAGGGAGGGAGGGAGGGAGGGAGGGAGAGGGAGAGAGAGAGAGAGAGAGAGAGAGAGAGAGAGTGTTAGAGTTGTTTAAGTCCAGGTATCTTTGGAGGCAAGTCAAAAACAAATCAGAACAAAGACTTTGCAGGTGGCACACTAACAATCTTCTCTAAACTAAGCAATACAGGTAGTTCTTGACTTACAACAGTTTGTTTTGTAACAGTTCAAAGTTACAACAGTGTTGAAAAAAATGACTTATGACTGATTTTCGCACTTACGACTGCTGCAGCATCCCCATGGTCATCTGATTAAAATGCTTAGTAACTGACACATATCCATGATGGTTGCAGTGTCCTGGGATCATGTGATCACTTTCTGCAACCTTCTGATAAACAAAGTCAATGGGGAAGCCAGATTCACTTAACAACCATGTTACTAACTTAAGAACTGCAGTGATGCACTTAACAACTGCTGCAAGAAACATCGTAAAATGGGACAAATTTCACTTAGCAACAGAAATTCTGGGCTCAATTGTAGTCGAAAATTGAGGACACCTGTACAAGGAAGGAGGCACCCTAAAATTAGTATTGTATTACTTGCATTTCCTGTTATCAGGACACAGTCCCTCATTACCCTCTTTCAGTGGCTTCCATTCAAAACTTTCGCACGCCTCCATGCACAACTCAACCATCAACATTCTCCGTATCACCATATTTCTTTGATTCTGTTTTGAAACTCACTCTATTCTCTTTAAGCCCACTGTCCATTTATCCTAAAGGCATCAATGACTTCTACTTATACATGGCAGAGTGTTCCTTTTGCTCCTATAACACACAGCCTTTTCCAATGTCAGCAAAACCTATCCTGAAGTTCACCTTCTTCCTTTTCACCCTGCTTATCACCACCTCCACTCCCAATCCACGTCATTGCACAACTCCTGACTATCTCATACACAGAGACAACTCCCTTAATTTTCACACAAAAAAAATCCTTCCCTCAGCACCAAGCAATTGTTCACCCTGCTTTGTTGAATATCTTGAGGATGGCATTTCAAAGGTATATATTTAACAACTTGTCTGGTAAGTAACTAGAACAATCCATTAGCAACCTTGAAGCTTCTTCCTTTTTACTATCTCCTTGACTAAATTAAGAGAAAACTACTGCTAAGTCCTAGTACCCTACTATTAGTTTACTTTATAAAATACATTTTTTCCAGCCTGTTATGAGATCAATACTTCTCTGCTGGTAGAATTGAAACGCAAGCTCTTTTGTAAGCTAGTAACTTGCCTGGATTTACAAGGTTTTATCACATATTCTCTAGTTTAACTTACATTGTACAATAGTTTATCATTTTGCAGTGAATAGAACTGCAGGTGTCCAGGCTTGCCATTTAGAACTAAAGCTTTCGTTCTTGGATCAACTATCAAGCCAGTCTTGACATCGCTGCCTGAAATAAAGGGTTTGAAACAGAATGGCATTTCTTCTTAAAACACAAACACAATTTCAACACCAACCCCATCCCATCCCCAAACCTTACCCTACGTACCTTTGATTAATCCTTGGATTACTGCAGAAACTTTCAAGTTGCTATGTATGATTACTATCTCTGTGTGTATTAAAGGAAGTTAATAAACATAAGAAACAAGGCTCACAAAAGGTAAAAAAAAGTTATCATCTGCAATTGGACAATTCAGAATAGCTACTAGGTCATAAGATATTTCTATTAGGAAAAAGATCTTGCTTTTGAGGGCTGTTTAAATCTTGGGAGCATTTCTTTAACTAGACTTGGAACAATTTGGTTGAAGCAGCAACCAACAAGACTGTTCAGCCGCGTTGATAGAGGCTACGAAGGTATTACTAGGATAGAAGGTCTTTGAAGATAACCAGATGCCTGGTGACCTCAAAAGTAGTCCACTGTAGTGCAAAGTTATTCTTGAAGGCTGTTCAAAATTAAAATTATTTTTGAATATGGCAGCAGGATCATATTCTACAGTTAGTCACTGCAAGTAGCTAACTCCCTCCTGTGCAACACTGATGGGGTATATGTAGCTACCGAATCTTGATAAGATTTTAACTTCTAGCTTGTCTAATCAGTGCAATAAGATATAGAAGCTGGACTCCAAAATATCCCAAGGTCCCATAACAGCTCCCCATTCTAGAGTTGCAGCAGCCATAATTCTGGGATCGGGTCATGGGGGGAGGGGAGGGAAGTGTCTGCTGTAACTTTGAAGAGTCTCTAAGCAACCAGTTGAGGACTGAGCTGTGGGGGTGTAGTGGTTACAATGCAGTACTGCAAGCTAACTCACTGTTCACTCCATGAGTTTGATTCTGACTGGCTCACGGTTGACTCATCCTTCCATCCTTCTGAGGTGGGTAAAATGAGGGCCCGGATTGTTGGGGGCAATAGGCTGACTCTGTAAACCGCTTATAGAGGGCTGTAAAGCACTGTGAAGCGGCATATAAGTCTTAAGTGCTATTGCTATTATAACAAATTTCATATGTTAAAGTAAAACCAATTATAAATCCTCCTGATTTGGTCTTACTGTTATCGGAATGTGAAGTACAAAGAAGAGTTCCATCAGGTGAGACAGAGATATGCTGTATCGTGGCTCCTAAACGAGGCAAGAATTCCTTTTTAGCATCTGACCCATCTCGCCACTGAACCAGCACTGATTCAATCCCACCACTCAGGAGGCTAGTGCCTGTTGTTCCAAACAAAAGAAATAAATGAGTCAGAGGGCAGATGAATCAATTAACAGCCAGTAAGAGAATAACTTATAGTACGAATAACAAGTAAGAAGCCAAGAACAACTGAGCAACGGTTCTCAATTTTTTTTCAATTTACTCAAGTGATTTAAATTATTTTTCATTTATGCCATAGTTAATAATAAAGCCAATTCTGGCTTTGGCTGAGCAGCCTGTACAAGTATTTGGATCCTACGAGGATTTAATAACTTGTCATACTAAGTGGAATTAAAAAGGGCTAAGACCACAATCTTACTGAGGAATGAACTCAGTTAACTGATTCCCTCCAAACTGTGCAGCACTGTATATGATAAATGTTCTGCTGGAAAGGTATATAATCATTATATATTTTTATCTCTCTGTATATAATAGGTCTCACAAACTGAAATTCAACTTATGTAATGCTATAGTTAACATTCACTTTAACAAGGGCTTAAGGTTTTTCTTTTAACATAAGAAACAGGATTTTCCAAGCAAAACCTTACATTTTGCTTACGTTAGCAGAAAAATATGTTCTGCTGCCACACAGCAAAATTCCTCCTGTTTCCTGTTCAAATAAGAAGCCAAGAATAAAATAAACACCGCAGGGGCCACCTCAAGTGCTTGGCAAGGTCCAGAATTTTCCAGCAGAGAGAGTTGATTTTCCCCCAGCTACTTAAGGAATGGCTCAACTTCCCTGTTTACATACACTGATATAAAGCAGGCACAACCATTTTATTACCTTGCCATTAATCAACCTGTAACCATGATTTTAAAAATGTTTTTGCTGTTGAAGGCATTTCTAAGCCCTCATCTTTGATAGATTTACAGGTAGTCTTCAACTTACCACATTTGAGTACCACATTTCTGTTGCTAAGTGAGGCATTTGTTAAGTGAGTTTTGCCCCATTTTATGATCTTTCTTGCCACAGTGACAGTAAGTGAATCTCTGCGGTTGTTAGCTAGTAACATGATTGTAAAGTGAATCTGGTTTCCCCATTTGCTCGTCAGAATGTTGCAAAAAGTGATCACATGACCTCAGGATCACATTGCAGCCGTCATAAATATGAGTCACTAGCTAAGTGTCTGAATTTTGATCACGTGACTATTGGGAGTGCCATTGTTGTTAAGTGTGAAAAATGGTCCTAAGTCACTTTTCTCAACATCAATGGAAATTTGAATGGTCATGAAGTGAACAGTTAAAAGTCAAGGACTACATGTATTTAGTATATCCAATTGTTTTTCTTGTAGAAATATTTGATATTTTTGTACCACATTTTCAGCAGTCTGCATATTTACAGATCATTAAAATGTGCATGCTTAAAAGATTAGTAGCATATAGAATACTTCAAAATATTCCCTCTTAAAACTGGACTTTGAAAACTCAGGCAATTTTACCTTCTACAGAGAAAGCAAGATCGATAACTTCATTGTGATGCCAGTGCATTGTGGAAAACGTATATTCTCGCTTATGATTAAAATTTCTCCTACAGGAATAAAAAACAAACACTGAGTTGCAATCAACTTCTCAAGAGTTTAAAAGGAGCTAATATACTCCTTTGGTCAAGTGTTAAACCAACCTTCCCCAATCCAGTAGTGTGAATTTCTTTCTCTAGCCAGGCAGTATGGCCAATACAGAGAACTGAGGACACTGAAGTCTGCACGTCCAGAGACACTTTAGCTGAAGGCATCAGTGCTAAATATTTTTGATTCTTGAGCTTGCAAAATAAGAATATTTACTTCTTTTACATTATACCTAAACCCTACCCAAGAAAATATAGTTGAAAACACATGTCTGCTTTCACATGTGCATCACTTGCCTGGATGTAAACTACTGCAAAGGAATAATTAATAAGCAATCTTCAAGCCCAAAGCATTTACATTTCATTGAGAGAAATGAAAGAAGAGGGCAATTGCTCCACAATTGTACAGAAGGCAATTGCTCCAGGATGGGTCAGATTTGGAATTTTGAGAGCACACTTCTATCACATACAAAATAGTTGTCATGAGAGACATGGCTATTCACAAAGTAGCTGTTAGAGTGAATGTGTTATAAAAAGCCATTTGCCAAAGACAATAAGCCTCCATCTATACATTTTTTACTATCTCATCCCAAGGAACTTTGTGGGTTCAAAGGCACTGTTGCAAGTAAATATACTAGAACATGGTGTCTTGCAGCACGCATACAAGCCTTCTATTTCATTTTCAATTAGTGTTTCAAATCAAGTGTGGAGCCCAATGTACAATGAAATGTTGTCAAAAGCTATTTGACTTTTTTTTCTTTACACATAGAAAACACCCGATTAAGAACCAAAAACCACCTACTGTCGTTCATTGATTTATCAAGTTTATATAGCTTTGCATACATTTTTTGTAATTAGCCCCGAGAATGATCTGAAGGCAAATACCATCACTCAAGAAAAAGTAGTTTTAGCTGCAATATCCCTGCAAATCTGAATTCTTTGCCAAAAGACTGTCCTCTAATTGCATTCGCCATTGAAAAAAATATTTCTCTTTATGTTCTGAATGCAGCCCAGCATGCCATATTATTAATTCATATTTCCCTGAAGGATAATCATGACCTCTGATTAAAATTTAGGAATTTTAATACATTTAAGCTACCAGCAGAGGAAAAATATCTACAACAAAAGTCTTCCAAGAATGAGCACTATGCTGGTTATTATCAAGGCTCATTATCTTAAGGTTTTATTTCTCTGTACAACCCAGTCAGTGATATTTCAAGCTAGGCATGACGGTATTAATTTTATTTTTCAACTTGTGATCTATAATGGATTGAATCCCCCTCCAATCTCTATTTAGAGTCAGAATTTTCTTAATTTACAATAAATCAGTGCCATCTTGCAATCTTCATTGAACATATTTTCATCTGGAATTCTTCAATTCATCTGAAAACAGCTTTTTATCAAGCGTCTAGTCCAGGCATGCCCAACCTGTAGACCAGGGGTCCCCAACCACCAGGCCCCAGACCAGTACCGGGCCATGGATCATTTTGTACCGGGCCGCCTACTTTGCTTGGGCGCCGCCATCTTGTTTCGACGGTGCTTGAGAAAGTGCTTCCGGGTGAGCTTGTCGGTCGTCGGTTGGAAAGCGGCGTTTGGGTGCTGAAGGAATCCTTATGCCTTAGTTTCATTGAGGGGGGGGGCAGCTTCGAACGAAGAGCCGTCCCGATGGCGGTGGAGTCTCACGTTACTCAGGAGATTAAGAAAGAGCCCGAAAAGCCCATCGACCGCAAGAAGGTACAAAGGAGGAGTTGAAGGTGGCGGGAGAAGCGGGGTACAGCTGGCTGGCTGGTCGCTCGGCTTGCCTTGCCTTGGCGTGCGTGCTGATGCCGGTACCGGTCCATGGATCATTTTGTACCGGGCCGCAAAGAATGAATAATCGTGAAACTGGTCCCTGGTACAAAAAAGGTTGGGGACCACTGCTATAGACTACATATAGCCCTGGACAACTAGTAACACAGCCCCACAAGATCATAAAGGTTTGTTATGTATATTCATTAACTATATCTGGTTTATATGCAGCTCAACACAATTCCTCTTCTTTCAATCAAACCCAAGCAAGTCAAAAAGCTGGGCAGCCATGATCTAGACAGTACAATTTTGCCATAGATTGGGTATGTTAATACTCTGCCCTTACGTTTTTCAGGAAATATGTGCTTAGAAACAGCTGCCAAAACGAAGAATAACAAATGCTTGCCTCACCAAAGACGAATTTTGCCATCTTGGTGTCCACTTGCTATGCAGTCTTCCTTTGGGTGACAGGCTATACAGGTGAAATAGCTGGTTGAAGCATTCCTAAGATTTTTACCTATAGAGAAGCTTCAAAAACAGGAGTTATAGCTTGGTTAGTGTGGCTGTTAAGAAAAATTATCCAAGAGAATAACAAAATTAAAATTCTAATTGCAAGTGTCAGCTCCTCAGAATGCAGCACATGTAACAACACAGAGATAGAAGACTGCAGTACCATCTACATGGGATTACCCTTTGAAGGCTACTCAGAAACTGAAACTAATTCAGAATATTGCTACAGTCTCTGTATCTATTTTGGCATCCATTTCATTTGCTCTCAACCTAATTATTCGATAATTTTATGTCTAAAAAGTTTGGGAAGTGGGAATGGATTCTATAGAGACGAGCATAGATCTTTTTGATTAATTCCTCCCTTATTCTATTTTCCTTTCTCTTTCACTGCAGTCACAGGATAGGAATCAAGCCCAGTAATTGAATGAGTTGGGGATTCTGGAACCTTTTAGGGCTGTTTGAAAGATACTTGATCTTTCCACATCTTTCTCTTCTAATAAAGAATTCTTGGAAGCCGAAATAGAAAATGTTTAATTGATATCCACAGAAATCTTTAAAATCTGGGTCAACCACAATAGTGGTAAGCATTTGATGAGTTTTTCAAACAACAAATTGCAAGTTGTTATTTAAAGCAAGTCATAACAATAACACGCAGCAAATTGCCTCTAGGCAAGATGGGCAGCATAAATAAACGAGCTTGCATTTTAAAAAAGGATGCATTTTGGGTCCCCAAATTTTATTTTTATTTAAAAGTTTTATATAAACACCCATGTTATGAATCACAATCCTGGGGAGCTCGTAAGAAATAGTAAAACAGTAAAAAAAGAAGTCATTAAAATCCAACAAAGAATCTCCCAATGCCCCCAAATAGAACACTTCCTGACACATATAGAGAAAAAAAAATAGACTTCCCTGGGTTCCATCCTATTGCATAGTAAGGCTGTGGTAATAGCCACCTCTTCCTAGGTTTTCACAAGGCCAGCAGGATAGTGGCCTGCAAAATCTTAAGGGGGAGGAGTCCAAAAGGACTGTGTCAAGAAGGCACACCTCCTAGGTCCCACTGGGGAGAAACATTCAAAGGAAAGTATCTGGACCATGCTCACCCTACCCAACCAGCTGGAACACGCAGACATCCTCACAGAGAGTATCCTGCCCCCTTGTCATTCATGCCTTTAAAAACGAAGTCAGAAACTTCAAAAAAGCACTTTGGTTTATAAATAGTTTTTATTTGAAGCAGCCAAACATTTTTACAGAAAATCTAATCAATTAACTGGTTAAAAGAGAATTTTATATTGTTTTTAAAATATCAAATAAACTGATTCATCCCTCGACATCCGAACTAGTAAAAGAGGAAGTAAAGAAGAACTGATTGATATGTTGCCTTGGCTATCACACAATAGCCAACTTACGCTTTTAATCCTCACCTGTAACTCTTCTTCTTCTTGAAGAAACAAACAACAAGATGAAGCTTCCAAACTGATACTACATATTCACCCTGTCATAATGAAAATATAGTTGGAAATTTCAACCAGTTTAAGTCTTAATTTGCTTAAGTAATTTACTGAATATACCACTTTAAATTGTCAACCAAGCCTTTAATATACAGATGTGTACATAAATTATAATAAGCCAAAATCAAGGAAAAATATAACTTGGTGCAATATATGAACCTGGATTTACTTTCTGTCAAGATCTTAAATCTTTAAATCAAGATTTCTGTCAAGATCAAAACATTTGTTTGATTACAAAAATAATTAGAACAGTTGGCATGTGACAACTAATAAGGACTACAAGAGAAGCTATTAATTTAAACCAAACCCCGAAAGTTTATTTCATGCATTGGTAGCCAATCTGGTGCCTTGTAAATATTTTGGGCCTGCTTCCATCAGCCTCAGTCATTATGACACATGACAATGGATTGTAGAAGTTGTAGAACAAGACATCTGGAAATCATTAGGCTGCCCATTCCATTGTTAAAAACACCAAGAAGTTACACGTTTGATAATGTGGCCCAGCTGTCACTGAAATGAACAATTTCCACATCACAAACTGGACGGAGAGCCAGGCTTTAGTCAAGAAGAAATACTGTAAAAAGTTTGCCATGAAGGAACTTTGGGAAGGAGGAGAGGAAACAGCATGTATGCTGATTGAGAAATATACAACTTTGTTAACTCCCTGAACAGGCCATCTAGTTTTTGATAACCCATATCATCGACAATCGCCCAAATTTTTGCTTTTCTCCTGCAGCAGACTAATCAGAGAGATGAAAAGAAGAATCTGTAGCCTGAATAGCCCAAACATCTCTCTGTATAATATGTATGTTATGCCTTGCTAAAAAGTAGGCTCAGAAATCCATTCATTTTCTGTCTACTTGGAGGACTGTATTTATTTAAAACTAAAAGAGATTGTTACAGAGTTCATCTTATGTTTATTTTTGATGAAACTGGTTTAACTTCCAAGGAACAAAAGGGAGGGAGGGAACAAAAGCTTGAAAACACTAGTCACTTTCCTATACAGTATCTGACCGAAAAGTTGTGATTTTTAAAAATTATTTTTAATTTTTGACCATTTAATCATCAAAAAAGGCAGCACAGATTTTAGGAGAATGGGATGACTGATGGTGTCCTCCCATAAGTGGCAACAGAATCACTTGCCAAGTCACTAACCCATCCCCACAGGATCAGCCATTTTTGCTCCACCTTAAGAGTAACAAACGTATACATACATCTCTTCCAAATGCAGTGCATTTGGGCGACTGGCTTACACCATCTAAAACCATTTCTAGGTCATTGGCTTCCACTTCTTGATCAGGTGTTTTTGGAAGCTTCACTGTCATGAGCTGAAACTCATCTGGTGAAATAAACATTTCTTATTAATAAATTGGTACAATGGATACGAGCTGGCAGTAAGGTATGAATACAATCATGAGTTGCAGATTAAGGAACAACTATCAGACTCATATATCTTATTGAATCAAAATTAAACTACATTTTATGACTTAGTACAATACATAAATCAGAACATTTTTTCCTATGGCTTGAATTACAGAACGCATTCACTGAACTCACAAGAGACATTTTTCCTAACCTGCCCTCCTTTCCCCATCCCCAAATTCTCTCTGAAGACATAAAGAATTAGACTAAATCCAGAAAAATCTACTTTGGCTTCAGTTTTGGGATAAATTCAGGATGCTCCTTCATTCACCCACAATGGGAAGTTAGTCATCTTCAGCCTAACCATAAACACTTATCAACCAGTTCATAGACAGGTCTTCAAGTTCCAATAGTCATACCATTAAATTATTTTATTTCTCCTAGAAGAATGGCACTTTCATAGGTTGCCTTTTAGGTCATTGTTTTACAAAAACTTACATCACAATAAAAGTTAGCATTCAATGAACCACAACACTGCACATTGCTTTTGCAACTGGTTTAGAACAAATATGCATCTGAAAATCCTGTCAAATAGTTAACAATCCTGAGCTAGAAAAAGAATAACCTTAAAATAAAGTAAGTAATTCTGAGAATGTAAGAGAGGTTATAGAGGCCTACTTTTGTTTTCCATAATGCAAGGCAGAGTATCACAAGTAGTGGATTCATTTTACCCCAGCCTTCCTTTCTTTAACAAAAATTTCAAAGAGGTTCATGAGAACATAAGATCTACAGAAGAAAAAGGACATGGGTTAAAACATACCTGATTTTTCATGCTCTGAAATGATGATAAATGCAGAATTCTCTGAACTTGCAAGAGTGTAAAATGCAAAGAGTTTAGACCCAACAACAAATGTCTGGAAGAAAAGAACAAAGCAACACAAAATCTCTGTTAAATTTCAGCTAATCTCAAGGTGAAATCTGTCAAGAAATACAATTTGTCCTAATTTCCAAGCAGCTTCTGAAAGTACAATAAGAAAAATACTCCCTGCCCCATATTCGTAATATGTTTGTTCTTTTGGTTTGGCTTGGTTACTGGCACAGTTGCTCTTATGCCAGTACAACTGATTGTGTCCCCAATTATATTAAAATCTTTCTAAGATTGTTAAGCACAGTATTCATGCTGATTATTTCATTTCATTATTAAGCAGTCTTGAGTTTACTTGACAAAAATCTGCAAAATTACAGGTAGTCCTCGGATAACAGCAGCGATTGAGACTGGGATTCCTGTCACTAAGCAATGTAGTCATAAATGTGATGACATGTGACCACCTTGCTTAGCGATTGCTGGCACTTCCTCTTGCTGTCATTAAGCAAATCACCATGGGTCATTAAATGAGGACATCATGCGGCCATCATTTACCACTTCCTACCAGCTTCCGTATTGACACTGCTAGTAGAAAATCAGCAAAGAAGTCCAGAGAGGGTGATCACACAACCACTGCAACGCTGCAGTACAATAGTGCAAAACATTTACCTTCCAGCTGCTTAAGGAACTTTTGAGTAACAAATTTAGTTTTGAAGAAGATAACATATAGTGTCTGATAAAATATGGATGTGCAAAATGCAACATTTCTACGGATAGAATTGTACGGTACTCCTGGAATATCCTGTTTTTTTCATGGCATGAATGGTCATGCTTAGGACATCACAAAATCACTGTATCTGTGTTCTGGGGACCAAATACCCAGTTCACAATCACATGAGCTTGGGGATATTGCAATCACCAGAACTTTGAGGATCAGTTGTAAGTACTATTCATTCATAGCTGTCACAAATTCGAATAGTTGCTGAACAAGTGGTCATTTAGGGATGACCATGGTATCAGAAGAAACTGCAATTATAGTAGATTATATACTGAAAAACCTCTGTTCACATCCTGGCCCTGGGCATAACAGTTATACTGCACATGCTACATATAGTAATCTAGAGAAAACCTATTTATTCCATTTATTCCACTGTCAACTCCTGCAGCAATTAAAAGAGTTATGGTAAAATATTTTTAAAAGCCCTAAAATATAGTAATCAACTTAATACTAACAAAACTTACTGTAAGAAAATAGTAATAATAACAAATCATATTGAGCAACCATAATACAATATACTATTTTTTCCTAGTCTTATAAGCCACTCCAATCACTGATCATTGAGAAACAAAACCTGGCATCTATACATCAGGTTAAAATAGTAATAAAATAAAAATACCTACTAATATGAACATATGTCCAAACTATAAATTTGACAACATTAATGACATTAAGCAATACTTATTAAAAAAAATAATTTCACAACATCTCAAATCCCCCAAACCTCTTGAACAGCCAGATTTTTATGTCTTCGGAGATCATTAGGAGCCATTTGAATTTCTGGGTAAATTTTGTTCGATATTTTGAATTATGTCTTAGATTACATGAAGTGCAGGAAATGATTTAGTTTAGCCAACATATAGCTTGCATGACAATGGTAGATTATTATTACACCACCATACAAAAATCATACCCAATATCATCCCGCATACATAATGCCTATTACTTAATTAACTGCTGAAATCAAAAGACTATTTCTTGGTTCGTTAGGTACAAATCTGATTAATAATTTGTGGTTTCATATCTTTGTGAGCATAAATTATGAATGATATATAAAAGATTAAAGGAAAGCAAAACTGAACAAACCTTGATAAGAATTCCATCCATAAAATCCCAGAGTTTAATAGTGCCATCTAGAGACCATGAATAAAGCTGGTAACAGAGAAAAAAAGAAGTGACCTATAAATTTCAATGTTGATACATGTAGAAAAAATGTTCAGTACCTCTAGTGGCTCCCTTTATTTATGACATTATAGAATAGGATCTTTTAATGTATTTGGTAAAAGCATTCATTTAGCTACAAAATCATGTGTGCATATTTATTCCTGGTACCTGCCAAAACATAGGCTCACAAATAGAACAAACATAGATCAGCTGTTGTTTTTTTAAATTATAATAAAAACTTTCCTGAAACCCAGTAATAATTAAACCCAACCAACATATAGAACTCAAAGGACCATTTTAAGTCCCACAGATTCATACTAACTTTAAGAGTTTTTATCCAACAAGAAGCACTAAGGGCACAACCTTATGTACTGGATCTTAGGTATCCTAAGGAAGAACTGCTGCATTACTCCATGGAGAAATCCCACTGAGTGGGGACAACAGATGCAAAAGGTACTTCTCAGCCTAACCAAGTCAATTTTCCATATAAGGATAGAGATGAGAAGCAGCGTTTACTCCTGGGGCCCTCTCAATCCTAACTGCAGGCCCAATAATCGGAGATAATGGAAATTGAGATCCAATGTCTAAAAAACAAGAGTTTCCCTAGTTTGCTTTAAACTATGCAGATCTCAAATGACATTGAACTTTTAAATGTGTACAAGAAACTACGATAGTAAGTTAATGCAGCTGGCTCAGAAGAGAAGTGTCAAACTCACAACATGCTACAATGGGACTGGTATAAGCCCAGCTATTTGATTGAGAGGTAAGCATAGCCTTCTAGACGGACAGTGAAAAGTAAAAACCATACAAAGCTTTCACAAGTTTAGAGTCATAGACAGCTAATTCCATTTTCAGCAAACTCCAATTTTCAATTATTAGCCCTTTAGTTCCTCTACCCCAATGATGTGTGAAATGAAGTGACATGCAAGAATTAAGTTTAAAATGCCTTAATCAAACTGATAACCTGTAAATGATTTTGGGGATTCAACTGTATTCCTGTCACTAGATTGCTGTGACCTTGTAGGATATGTAGGCATTCTTCTGTAAGCGTGCTGTAGACTTTAATGTAGTCACCTGAAGCACATAAGAGATACCTGTAAATGATTAAAAAAAAAGTTAATATAAAAGGCATCTATGTAATTCTAACATACTGTATAGAATTAGAAAACATGACTCCTCAGATCTTTAACATTAAAGTTAAAAGACTAAAATAAAAAGATGCTCAAAATCCACTAAACTATGTGACCTATCAGCACTAAAACTCTGCATTGACCTGGATGCGTTGTTCAAGAGCAGAATATGGGATAAATAAATATGAAGCAATAATAAACCTATTAAGATTCATACACTTGTATCATTTTACATTTCACATCAAATAAAACAAAACATAGACCCACTACCAGAAATTTATAAGCCAAAATCCCAGAGAAGTGATGTCCTCAGTCTACAAGAAAACAAGAGATGCGCCTCTATTTTTACATGGCTTAAACTTACTTACCCGAAAACTAGACTCTCTATTCGTAAAGACTAAACATTACAGCAAGAATGGTAATAAGAGGGAAGCCAACTGCAGATCCTATGGCACTTTCTCCTTTCGAAGTGACATTACGGACTGCAAATTCATCCCAAAGTAAATTTTTGGAGTTCAAAAGCAGTTACCTAAAGATATTAACAGCCTAACCCAGAAAAGACATTACCACTACAATCAGGTGAATATTCCCGCTTATATTTCTACATGATGTATCAGCGCAAGTATTTTATCTACAAGTGCATTGCATACGCGCAGGTACATGTCAATAAAATAAACGCCGTCCTTCTTGCAATTGCAGCTTTCCCACGCAATGGAAGTTCGCCGCCCAAGAGAAAAGAAGAGCTCTTCAACTCTCCAATTCTACTAACTTCGAATCTGCAGAAAATACCGCGCGACAATCACTCAACCAGCTCCCGCCGCAGCGAACCACGCGGAGCTCCTCGCGCGCCACCATTTTTCCACACGAGCCAACCTCCAACCTTCGTGCCCCTCCCCACCGGGAAATCCAGGAAGAAACAGTCGCTACCTCTCTAGCCGAAGTATTTCCTGGAGCTCTATCGTACTGGGTCCTAAAAGGAAGTAAAGGGGAGGGCGCCATGCGTTTTCCTGCTTTCGCGTTTCAAGATCTCGATTGAAAATACTGATACATAAGAGAGAGGTTAGGCAAGAGAGTCTCTCTTGCCCCGGTTAGGATTTCTTGAGCAAATCCGTTCCGCTTTCAGTGAACCCCGCCTCCCCCCGCCTTCATATTGAAAGTGGAATGGATTTGCTTAACATTGGGTAAGAAGTAATATGAGTTTGGTTAGCGAGAAATTTGCATTAGACAGCCCAGCTGCTCAGTCTTTGCCGTATGTCTGTAACTTCAGCGGGCATGTGATTCCCCCCGACTTGCAATTTAAGATGTGTTACAGGAGTGTAGAGCGACACTGTTGAGTTGCAGACTAGGTAGTCCGAAATGATTTCTGGAGAAAAGTTTGCAGAGTGTAGTGTACGCACTGCCTGTGTCAAATTTCTTATTTGAATAGTGATTGCTGTTTTCGCGGTAGGGTATAATAGTTCCGGGCTCAGTTGAGTACATCGGCTAATGAAACTTCAGGAACTGAAGCCTAAGTTGAAATAATGCTTTGTTATTAATTTTGCCGAATGTATGAATTGTTTCAAAATACACTGCATGCTGTCTTACATACAGTAAATGCATTGCATACATTAAGTGCATTTAAGAGCTAGTTTGGTGTAATGATTAAAACACACAAAAAAGCGACCCTAGGCCAGTCTCTCTCAGCCCTGAAAAGCAGGCAAAAGGCAAACCACTTCGGAAAATTTGGCTAAGAAAGTTGCGGAGACTTGTCTCCAGTACTCAAAACACACCCACCCCAAAACATTTAAGTTAGAGCAAGGATGGGAAATACAAAAGCACTTTGATTGCAAAAATGGGGTCCCCACAAGAAAGATAAACAATTCGCTCAATTCAAAAATAAAATTATTCTCCAAATTTTATAGTTTGAATGTCATTCTTAAACAGCTTTTTTGATTTGCTGACTTCCTCCAAGCCCTCCGGTCCCAAATGCAATGCATGTCTCAACTAAAAGAATCCAGCTTAATTGCTTCTCTGACTCCAATCAATCACCCAATGGTATAGAAGCTTTATATTCTCTGGCGCATATTGGACTTTCTGTATAAGCAAAAAAAAAATCAAATAGTATACTGTATTAATTAGGAGTCAATCTCGTTTGTCATAAATCTATGATAAAGATACCAAGCCCCTCCTCCGCTGGCCTTTTCTCATAAGTTCCTTTTTACATCCCGTGCTGCGTTTTCCGCCAGCTTCACTTCATTGGTTGCAATGCGTGCTCGTCATATCGCGCATCCAATCAAAATCAGAGTAGTTCAATGGCTTCTGCTTCAAGGTCCCCAGGAGAAGCAAATTGTACGTACGAGAATTAAATAACCAAATTAATATTGTACAGATTTTTAGCGACGGGCCACGGGGGAGGAAGCGTGTTTTGGAGCGGCTGGGTCTGAGGATATTCTAGAGCAGGAGTGGGGAACTATAAGCCCTTTTATGACTTGTGGACTTCAACTCCCAGAATTCCTGAGCCAACCATGCTTGAAGTCCACAAATCATAAAGGGTCCGTCGTTCCCCACCGCTGCTCTAGATTCTCTAATGGGGGGGTGGGGGGGGTGTAGATTTAGCTGCTGTGAGTCGCTTACTTTCTTGGCCTCCTGCAGACCAAGAATTCACAATATGTACCCCTTCAGAGACTGAACTCTAATTCCCATTATCCCTCTTTAATGCGGCTGGTGAAGACATCCTGGGACAAGGCTGCCTCTGTTCCTGAGTCTGGTATTTATTTCTGTCCCACCTTTATTTTTAATAAGTCAAGGCTGGTAATATACCTAATACACTTTCCTCCTATTTTCCCCACGATAACTACCCTCTGAGGTGAGTTGGGCTGAGAGAGAGAGATTGACTAGCCCAAAGACACACAGCCTTTAGGTTTTCATGCCTAAGCTGGAATTTGAGGATCAGTTCATATTGCTGGGCTTGAGAATACAAAGAATATATAGAAAAAGAAGTGAGAATGCTCACCTGTGTTGTGCCCAAAATTTGGCTCCATAAAGCATCTATGTTACTCTGAAGATGCAGCATAATTTTATTAGCGTGGTCAATAAAACAGTATTTCCTGGACTCCCAGCTAAGACTTTGCAATGTGTTGAACAAAAGCAGAATATATACAGACTAATAATGTACTTAACTAGTGGTAATTGTGGTTATTGATAACAGCCTACTACAGATACTTTACAAAGGCAGGACAAAGGAAATTACAGCATGAGGTTGGAATGTGTGGAATAAACCTATCTGGCTGACCGTATTATTTATCCCTTCCAAGTAGGGTAGGTGCTAGCCATGCTAACTCTTTGGGATGTGATCAGTGAACAGCAATACTGTGGTTTCCTTAGCCACAGGTTCCTGACACAGGCATCCTCTGGCACTTCTGAGGGTTAACTCAGCTTGCTGTGAATGTTTTCTTACAAGGTCCCTTCAAGCAATAAGTTCCATCTCATCCTGTGCACCCTTTTTTTGAACTATTGCCATCTGGCATGCAATACAGGACATTTAAAGACAAGGACAATTAGGCTGAAAAACAGTTTCTATCCCAGAGCAGTAACTATATTGAATTCTACTGTATAGTGCAATATTAATGCAATACCAGGAGTTTTCAATTCAATTGCATAGAATGTGAAGGATATGTGTTTTTGCTTTATTTTTTATAATTTTCTTATGTATAATGTGCACTTAAAATGGCATTTAATTTCATTGTACAATTGCAATGACAATAAAGTACTACTACCACTTTGCAAAAAAATAAAAAGAATTGGGATGGGGAGACATCTTGGAGGTTTGGTTGAGAAAGCAACTCAAATGCATATGGGAAGGGTACTTCTATCACCACACCTATTCACATAAATGCATTTTGCATTGGCTACTGGCTGTGAATGTTATTGCAGAATTACTCTGGTTTCTTGCCTTTTCTTCAGGTCTTGAGATCCTGTCGCCTTTAACTTGTCAAAGGAGCAGTAAATGACTATATCTGCTATTGGAAAAGAACCTGGGGTGCTTCTGACCATTCAACAGGAGCAGATGTCAAGCCAAGCACTATTAAGGGAAGGGGGGGAAGGGTCAAAGTTGCCTGATAAAGAAGAGCTGAACAGAAAGGTCAGTGGAGAAACAGTGAAATTAATAGAAGAAGAAACACTAATATGGACAATTTACTGCTGATGGTAGAATCTTGATAAAATAGTACTAAACCCTGCTTTCAAGAAATGCAACAGAATAACTTTCAGAAAGGACTCCTGTTTAGTGATACCAACAGTCTTATAGCCCAGACCCCAAGCTATGCTAAACACACATTAAGGATCAGGCTTCATTGGACATGAGGCTTACATGCAGCCTAATGTAGTGCACTTTGTTGAAATAATAACTTATCTTCAAAAAATACAATTGTCCTTTTAAAAGAACAATTCCCATTGAAGATGGGGATGCTTCTTTTAGCATGGAAATACAGTTTGGATTATTTTGAATTTGTAGAAACATTTTTGCTCTTTGCTGAAGCTGGAGAGTTAAGAAGCTTGTTGCAAAAATTATAGGTAAATGTAAAAAAAATGGCTGGATGAGGGAAAATAGATTTGTCATATGAATCCTTGTGATAATAATAAATGTCTTAAAATCTGAGCTTTAGAACTTATTTGTAATTATAATGGATGCAATCTCTAACCATAACAATCTAAGTTTTCTTATCAACTGAATCATTTAACTATGTTTGGGATATAACTGTTTCTAGAAGATACTATTTACTGACATAAATGTATATTTATCTGAACTAAATTCTATGTTTCTACTCCTCTGAATACCCACTTGTGATTGTAGGGCTTTAACTTTGTTGCTTCTATCAGTACGATTTATATTGATTGTTTCCTAGACAAATTCCTTGTGTGTCCAATCACACTGGACCAATAAAGTATTCTATTCTATTCTATTCTATTCTATTCTATTCTATTCTATTCTATTCTATTCTATTCTATTCAACTCAGGGGAGTTTTTTTTAATTAAAACAATTCAAAAATTTACAATGGAAATTAAAATAAATGCTTGAATTATAAGGCAATTGAAAGTTAAATGTCTGGTAGGTAAAAAGATGGGCTTTTAAATATTTTCCGAATGGAGTGAAGATTAAGCAATAGCTTTTAGAGAAGGGAATTCTATAGGCTGCAAGTGATATAGGAGAAGCACTCTTGCCCATCAGATAGGTCAGACTGTAATAATAGGGCATCTCTTACTTGCATGTTGCTTGACACTTCTGGGTGAAGAACAAGAGTTTCTAAATAGACATCACTTTGTTAGTATTTATGATGGAATGAATGTGATGCATGGTAAATAAGATGTGTTTATTATACTTTTTTAAATGTATATGTTAGGGAGATTTAAAAAGCTAGTTTACAAATTATACTTGAAAATCTTGGGCTTGTTTCTCATGGAAGTGAGATCTTTTTTCATCATTTAATTGCAGATTAAAGAGCAAAAAATTGTAATTGATGAAATTTCCAATTTGAAGAAAAACCGCGTAAGTAACTATAACTGTGTTATAATAGATTATTCCTAGTTATAAAGGAATTTATAACTGATACCAAGGTGTATACTTATTTGAGCATTTTGCCAATGTAGAATGAGTAGGTGAAAGTATGCTGACATTCTAAAATATTTTATTAAACTGGTTGAATTGTGATGGTCTTGTATGATTTGGTAACAAGTTTTGATCCAATTCCATTTACTTGTCATCCATTTGTTGGTATTGTTACACCCATCCAATTCCATCTACTCATCACCCATTTGTTGGTATTTATTTATTCCATAAAGCTAATACTATAAATGTATAGTGATAATGGCTATTATTGATAAACCAGAAGTAACCTACATGGAGCAACAGTCATAGTAATACATAAATGTGTAAA